TGGAAAGTCTTGTAGTTTTTTGTGTAACTATTGAATCAATAAAGTAAACTTCATCACAGTATTGTGTGCAATACGATCATTTTCTGATTTATAAGGAGACCATATTTAAACTGTTTTCAGTTTATATGTAGTTTTTGTAATTGTTTTGTGACGTTTGAAAATATCAGGGTTGCAGTCAGTTAACTTTATTGAATTGAGCTAATGCTGAGTCCATAAATTTACTGTCTATACTTCAGTTTGCAGTATAATTTTTCGTTATATAAATTTACCTGTTTTTTAATTGTTGCATAGATTAAATATTTGCAAGGTCTATTCATAATGATTTCGAACTGCATCCCATTTCGCACAGACCCCACATAAGGTACTTAATTTCCAAATATTTAATATAAATATCTCAAAATATAAACGAAGAAAAAATTATATGTTGTCTAAATCACAATTTATAATTAGTACTTATCAGATCATGGAATCCATCGTCTTGAAGAACTTCCAGTTAATAATGAGTTAAACGCGATATTTGCATACAAATTGGTGTATGCAGTTACAACATCTTCGTTGCTAACAACCTTCTTCAATGGCAAGGATATTTGCTTTAACAAGTTGAATAAGAAGTAAGACAGCAAAAATCTGAACCGCACTTGAAGACAAAACGCGAAAGGTACTGCCAATAAATCACAAATTTTTTTCTATTTTCTATTTATTAATGAATTTTTAGCATAGCGAGGTTATAACTTTCACGAGTACGGTGAAAATGTCTTTTATCTATTTTAAGTAATTTTTGATATATTTCAATACAGATCAAATATTATTTAAATAGATCAGAGTCATTTTATTATTATTTCCAGTCTCTACTTTATTTTCATTCTCATATATACTGCTTTTTGGAATATTATGCAAATCTACCTGCAATATTCTTTTTTAATAATGTTATATTTCTTTGAAAAAAAAGGTTTCCTTACTTATTTAAAGATGAATAGACACGGAAACAGCTGATATATAAGCTCATTCCTCCAAAATTGTTCAGTATGTCTTTTAAAATTAAGTTTAGAAATATGACTCAGTTATTGTTACTAGGAGACATTTTTTTAGTAAAAGCATTGCAAATTCATATCATTTATTTTAAGTACCAACCAATAAAATTTGTATTAAAACTATCATATTTCTGTACACCCAATAGACTATTCATGGACCGACACATTAGTGTACATTCGATATTTACGGATATACTATTGTATGTGTGAGAATGTAAATGATTTTTATTGTAAGTATAAAAATTAATATTCTGTTCCATTAAAAATTCCATATTATCTGTTTCTTTTTTCCTTTCATAAGGCAATTTGAGACAATTATTTCGAAATATGAAGGTAAATATCGTATATATGGTATACAGTTTCGGTGTTTTATGTTAGAAAATATCAAACTTTTATATGCCTGTACAGTGTTTTAAAAGCGGTTGTGTTTATTTCAAGTTTAAATTTATAGAAAACTTAAAAACGATTGTACCGGATTTCGGAAGGAACATATAAGATATATATAACTTATGAAGAATTAGAAAGTGTTTAACACTCTTATCTTGAAAAGCCTGGAAAGTATTGACCTTAATTTACTTGTGATGAATTATCTTTTATATAAAAGAATAAAAAAAAGTGTAATAAAAGTTAAATTTTATTACAATATATTTTAAATATATTTTAAATATATTGTAATAAGCCTAAAATAAATTAATTTTTAATATAATTTAGGCTTATTACAAAAACAAAACAAATCAAACATTGTTTCAATTTTGATGATAAGGACGTATACGTAATAACCTATCGAATAATCAATTAGGTATATACCATATTGCATTTATTATGTTTATAACAGAAAATTATATTTAAATACTTTAAAACAAAAATATGCAATCAGTATTTATGATGCTTTATGAAATAATAATAATTAAACAACTAGTTTTAAAAGTTACTTCTGATAGAAATAAATAAAAATATTTATTTTATGTTATTGATATATTTCAAGAAAATTAAAAATTCAATAGTCGTCTCGGATATTTAAAGAAGTATCTTGGATTTCTGTGCTTTATTTCATTTGAAAGCTTTAAATGGTCTTATTATTTATTTATTTTATTTCAAAGCTCAAAATCATCTTTAATTTAAAACAAGCTATAAAATATTCAAAAGTAACGTATGCAACCCACTTATTCATTCTGCAAAACGCAGGCGGCACCTCAAACATGCTTGACTACTCAGATTTTGGGTGCATAACCTGTACGTTTACCTTCGATAAGAATAAGTTGCGTTCGCGGATGTTTCAGAACATTCGGTATAAATTTCTTATTCTTAATACCTTCTATTTTCCACAAAAATTTAAAATGAGAACAAAAAATATTGTGAAAACATAATAATATTAATTGATAGATTAAGTTTAGTTTAAAAAAATAAAGATTCCTAAACTTATTACATCCAAATATAATATACTAATAACAAATATTGCTTTGGCCTCTACAAATCACTCTCTATATGTCAGATTGTTTTGTTTCTAGATATTGTGGGAGCTTATTATCAAACAGTCTGACTGCGTTAAGAGTAAGACAGTGGCGGAATCTAATGCCCAATCCATACCACAGTAAATATTATTATTTGTAAGATTATTTGAATTTGTAAGATTTTAATATATAAACTTATAATAGCAACATATAGATGTCATCATATTAACATACAGCTTGAAGAGAGTTTATCAACGATTATCAGTCTACAAAGTGTCCTACTAGTTTTTAGTGGTAATACTGGAGTATAGACTTAGCCACGCTCATAAGTTTTCTTATCTATATTAATGCAATGAAATCAACGCTTATTTAAATGAATATTAAATTAAATATTCATAAAGTATGTCAAGTCTTAAGGTGGTAAGTCATATTTCGCTTTTGAAATCTGTATGTACTTAGTTTTGATTATAGCAAGATGATGATTCGCGATTTTTATTAGTAATGTGGCATATTTGTATTAAATATGTAGTAGCGTTCTAGTTTTATATATAACTAGTTTTACTATAATCGTTATATTATGATGACGTTATTTCCGATTCGTAAACGATTTTAAACGCAAACTTCGCTAGAAGACTTTAGTTTATATTTTGAATTAAAATTACAGATGATAACTCGTTAAATTGAATTAAATTTTCTTTAGTTAGGTTCAGTTTCAATACTTTGTTATATGAAGCCGTGTAATCGAAACCGATTTTTTTGATTCTGCTATTTATAACTGCTTTGTTTGTAATTTGTTTCTAACGAATAAAGAATAAGCAGTTTTTTATATAATTTTTTCTTTAATAAAAAAGTACTACGAATCAGTTTTCGATAATGGATACTGATGAGTTATCAGCCTCTTAAATAATAAAGAGTAAAGTAAATAATCATTGAATTGCAGCCAATAGGCGCACTCAGCGCTACATTTCATATTTCGTTTTTAGGAATTTCGATGAATTATGCAAAATTTCGATTTAACGAAGCTAAGGGAAATTTATAAGTTGCATCTATTTACATTTTACAACAATATATGATTAGCACTGCGAATAATTTAAATTTATGTATTTATGGCTTGAGTTATAGCCTCACTATTCTCATATGCAATATATACTTTGTATGAAAAAGTTGTAGTCATTCTAATTTCAAGGCATTTTGCTCAAAAGCAGATACGATTTTTAAATTTAATTTATATCAGTAAAGTAAATTTTTTTTCATTTTTTATTAATTAATTTTATTTCGTGTGACTTTTTAATATTTGTGAAACTTGTGACTTCTGCAAGTACTGTGGTCTTCGAAAGACAGACTGTGTTGGTTTTTCAATAGATTCGCGAAAAGTGAAATCGTGTAGATATTACGATGCCACTGGCGTGAGAAATGATATCTGCTTATTTGATTTAATTTTTTTTTATAAATTAGATTGAAATGAAAAGTGAAATAGAGACGTAAAGTGATGCTTAAGTACCTACAGAAGCGATAGTAATGACCTAAGATTATTGCGACTATTTCATGCTGTTGGCTATTGATGAAATGCTTTATGTTAATATGATCCCATATTTTATGATAATAAATTAAATAAAACCACTTTGAAAAACTGTGAACAAAAGTTGGTTTTTAAAATAATATATTTATATTCTTTTCTTTTTAATAATTTTTTCCATTATTGATAGTCATTAATAGATTAAAGGGGAAATGATGTTAGGAACGCTGGTCTTAAAGATTGTTCCAAACTTCCAGTGATCTCAGATCATTCCTTTTAAAAACGATTAGCAACATTTATTTGCAACCACCACTTAAGATATTTAAATTGAATACTTGGGTTAAAATATTCATACAACTTTAGAATTTGCTTTTAACAATGAAAATATTATTTTTAAAGAATGCATTACTTTAAAAAATTTTATATACATATATACATTTGATTAAGATCGTGTATGTATAAGTATCTATAAGTTTATAATATAATATAAATATATAAACAGTAATTTTAATACAAAATATGCTTTGTGTAAATTAAAGAAATGGGTCACAACCCATTCAGTTCCGAATTACCATGCATTTTATTCATGGTCATGTGTTGGCGCGTGCCACCATACAATTTGTAGTATTTTTGACGATGAATTGAATTGTTGTTGGAAGTGCTAACCTATTGAATTGATTTTGTGAACTTCGATGTAATCGAAAAATCGCCTACAAATCGTAGAAATGTGAAGGTGTTTAATTTTCACACTACGTGGGCTAGCACATGCGTGGTCTGTACAATGCTGTAGAACCAGTCTAAGAAGTCAACTTTAGTTGAAACCGAGTCGAGTTGTTGGCTTTAAATTCATTCATGAGCAAGAAATTCATTGATCGCGAGCTTAATACACCGTTGGTGACCTTCTCTATTAACTGAACAGGTGGGCTAACGTAGAATTCGTATTTGAGGCGGTGCAATATAGAATTTTTCGGTAAATTTAATGAATGAATGATGGATATGTTGATGCTCGTATCAACAAAGCGAAACCGCGTTTAGTAAACTTAACAGCATATGGTGATCCAGTGACCCCAGTAGGCATACCAAACTGCGAATCTTTTACACAAATTTTAACTAAGGCAGTCAAACATGGAAGCATTTCAAATATATGGAGAGCAAGATGCAAGTGTTTGTGAATAAATGTGTACGTAAAATTCTCAAAATATGGTGGCCAGATCGAATATCAAATAAAAGACTGACAAACAACTCAAAAAGCAACACAAGCTCAGATAAAAGTGAGAAAGTGGAAGTAGATAGGGCATACACTTAGACAACCGAGAAATTAAACAGTGAGGCAAGGTTTGGCATGGAATCCACAAAGTACCAGAAAACTTGGTGCGCTAGCGAAAACGTGCAGACATGGAACGACATATTTAAAGAAGCACCAGATATAATCAGATTTAGAAGAATTATTAAGGCCCTATGCCCCACACGGGAAAGTGGACAATAGTAGTGGTAATGAATGAATGATAAAACAACAAAGAGAATCATTTATTTATTAAACAAATGACCATATTATGTTTGTCAACTTGAATAAAATTTCTTTAAAGGACAAAGAACTTCATTTGAAAATAGACTTTATGTCTTTGTTGCAGATAATCTTGCATTGTCAATATCATCTAAATTATAATATCGTACAGTATTTTCAAAATTCGTGGAAATGCGCTCTACTGACATTTATTAATACAGACAAATTTATCATAAAATTATGTATAACTTTTATCCACGCTTTCTCTTGTGGATAAACTGATAACTTTTATTTTACTTATGACGTGATGTAGTAATTTTAATTACAATGTGTCATTATACCGGCTATTATAGAACCTGATGCTATGTCTTCCGATTATTTTTAGCATAATTTTATATGGATTTTGTGCTAAAAATGGTCTAATAGTCTAAAAGAAATCAAAAAAAAAAAAAAAAATTAACTTGAGAGATTTTAATTATGGAAAATAGTGAAGGAGTTATATTCAAATTAATTTAAGAGTTCTTATTTTTTTATTTTTAAAATATATTTTATTTGTATTTAAAATTGAAACTTTAATTATATTTTGTTTGTATTTAATTTTTATTCACATACAATATATATTTATTTTTAAATAATTTTGAACATTTATATAATCCGATAAGACTAAATTTGTTAGCCTTTTTTACGACTCTGTTTTTTGATGACCGACAGCGAAGTAAGTTTTCTGTTTGAACCACTGAAGTCATTTCAAGAAATTATAAGTTTGGATTTGACCAATTAGATTCCAGCTTTTAAAATTCTTAAGAATTTTCTAGAAGCTTCTTTATCTCCATCTTAAAGGATTGGAGCTTCTATTTTCTAAAGCGCCTCGTAGGCGTCTTTAGCTTTAGCGTCAATCGCCAGATGACGAAATGTATGTCCAGTAGTATTTCGACATCTCGTCGATAAAATATTTGAAATTAAATTGCTAGCTCTTCTGCAAGACATAATTGTTATTTTTTAACAACATTGTTGCTATATAAAGTATGGATACTAAGCTTGAGAAGTGAAATAAAGCAAAGCACTTGAAAGTGTTTGCGTTACAATATTTTGATGCGCAATATTTGGATGCGCATACTTAAGATACAAAATCTTTATATAACTGCAAAGTGCCGTTACATTGTTTAAGGGTATTAACTTGCACTGTTACACTAATTCTAAACTTAAACTATTATTTTGGCGATAAATTCACAATTCACATATGTTTTGCTGAAGTCAGAAGTCACAAGACTTTGACAATAAAACGAACCAAAACTTTTTCATATTATGTTATGTGTTATGTGGTTAACAAAAATGCGAAAATGTAAAATTAGATTTGAAATGGGTGGTCGGAGGGAAATAAAACATCTCCAGCGGACCAAACAGCCAGGAGATGGTAAACTTCATAACAAGCCTCCACTGTAATTTTTCCGAAGGTAGTATCGATAAAAGGTTACATATGGTGCGGGGGAATGGCAGCTGGTTTCTCAGTATCATGTATAGGCAGAGGTTGAGACAACTGGCATGATTATATATGAATTAGCATATAGCGCAGTGTTATTCATGTAAACGGTATTTGCACAGCGGTGGAAGGCAACGGAAAACCATCACTATTATTTTTTCCAAGTTTAACATGAATCAACATGAATCAATTTATCTAATATGGCTGAGAATCAAAACAACGGCCCCGAGTAGGGGCGCCCCTTAAATGGGGCGGGAGTATTAAGAATCTCCCGTTCAGCTCAGATAAGATTCAATAATTAACAATCCTATAAAATTGACACTTGGAATGTCAGGAACATGTTCGAAAGCGGAAAAATTAATAATACAATACGGAAAATACAAAACAAAAAACGAAATTGGTATTTTGGGAGTAAGTGAAATGCGATGGCCAGTTGTAAAACGTTTGTTCTGCAGAATTTAGGTACTAGCTCTTGAGGAAGTATCTTGTGATGATCTAAATGAGGTGATTTAACAAAATAACGATCTTATCATCTCTTCGTGGAATGAAAATCCGGTGAATAGGTTTTTTCACATGCTAGAGAAGTACTACATTTGAATTTGTGGTGTTAATATGTTATGAAACATGTGTCAAAGTAATCATCAAGTGGTCCTTCGACGTGGTCGTGTAAGAAGGGCAATGTATATTCCAGCGGTAAGGGTATTAGCTTATTCCCTTATCAAAGACAAGTTTGCAGAGGGCTTATTTGTATTATTTGAATTTGTGTCATTCTTGCTCTAAAACTTTTGCGGAAGTAATAAAACGACTCAACCAGACAAAAAAAATTGGATTTTATCAAATTTTTATGGTTTCAAAAGACTAAAGTTAAGATTTTAGGTTTTAATAGCTATTATAGTTACTAGTCAGTATCGTTTTAAACTAAAAATTGATACTAAAATGATGTTTGCGCTTATATTAAGCAATAATCATGGCTACTATTAGCTTAAAATTTGCTTGTCTAAACTAATAATATATTAAATAAATTGTATCGATCGATGGAAATTGCTTTATTTGAATACAACTTCTACATAGATAATGTGCGTTTTTTCATATATGTGACTTATTACAGTCTGATTTATCGGTAAGAATACTTAATATAGATGTGACTACAAATAAAAAAATGCGTGCATGTATTGTACCGACAAAAATCGGCGATATGTAACAAAATCGGCGTTAACAAAATAGCTGCTAGTAAATATTAAAAATAATCCGGTGGCAACACTAAGCTACGTCGAATTTTTGGTATATGATTAAGATTGAGTTTGTTGCAAGGTGCATTTCTCGTCAAATAAATAGTATCATTAACTCATTTGCTGTTTTAAGATGCCATTCGATATTAAAAAATTTTATAGTTCTGAGGAGGAGAAAATAATGCATGAACGAGTGAAGCGGGAAATCATATTTAAGAAAAAGGTTTGTAATAACTCCACATACTTGTGTAGCTCTCCTTGTGTAGATGGGTATAACTACTGTCGAACGCACTTATCAAGTGATCCAAAGAACCCATATGGGCAATGTACTTATTTCTATAAAAATAACAAACAATGCCTAAATATGGCACTAGGAACTCATACGCTCTGCACTGAGCATACACGTAAGGAACAGCGTAAGAACCGGCGTAGTACATTTGGGCAGTTATCTCGTGCTAAAACTAATGAAAATGGTAGTTCTCGTGCGAAAACTAATGAAAATGGTAAAATCAGAATTATAAAATACAATTCCATAAAAAAAGATTTTATTACATTTTATTCACTATTTTAGTTCTTCTCTTTGAAGATGAGGATAATGATAAATTGGATAGCGCCTTAGAGAGTTCTGTGGAAAAAATTACTTCTTCTATGAAATATTTAAATAATTCAAATGAGAAGGGTACATCTTCATTTCAAAATAATCTTATTTTTAACAAAGAAGATGTTTCTACATTAAAAAAATCTTTTGAAGCATCGCTTAAATTGTTGAAAGAAACATATGCCACTCAGTCGAAGCAAGAGCGCCCCAAATGCAATATTGATAATATAGAAGAGCTTGTAACACTGACATCTAAACCCAAGAACTCGCCTAATAAAATTAAAACTCATGAGAAATTTAAGGCTTTTAAACATGGCCGACGCAGTCGTGGTAGTGATGCTTTATTCGAAGAAACACGAAAAGAAGAAGAACGCGTTACTGAAGGTATGAAATTGCAATCTGTGAAAACCGTAAAATGTATTCATGTTAATAAAACCAAAAACTGTGAAAATGCAGTCATACCTGAAACTAAATATTGCCGTGAACACATCTTGGAGAAAAAGAAGAAGCATTTTCGACATGACATGAGTTGCAAGAAATCACTTGAACATTCGAAGTAATCGGTAACTTCTATTAATTAGTCTGAAAAAATCAAATTAAAATATTTCATTTAAAGTTGCCAGAATCTATGAATTACTACATTAGTTTTTAGCTATAACAATTTTTATTGCTAAATAATAAATGTATAATAAATTTAAGATAATAAAGTTTTAAAAGGAACTGACTTTGTTATTGTTAGATCAAAAGTATTATATTTGTGTGTTTTTAATGCAAGAAGATGGCAACAAATCTAGTATTTTTATTTTGGTTGCTTCATAATCAACCTTTTTTTATATAAGCATTGGCAACTGAAAAAACCACTAGCTTATATCGAAACTATATTAATACTTGCACGTTCGACAATATTTTTGAAAAAGATACAAATTTCCAATTCAGTTTCAGTAGAACATTTAAAATTATAACTCATAACGTATTAGTAATTTTTTAACACTAGTTTACTAAACGTCTCATCTACGTACTACATTGTGCACCACTCTATCTAATTTCAAAATATATTTTAAATATATTTTAGTTTAAAGATGTTTTCCTGCATCTGATTAAAGCTCTAACAAAACTTAAACTTGAAATGTGTCATATGATTTGTTGGTAATACGATTTTTATCAGTGTGCAATGTATCGCATAACATATTTGAATATAATGGAAACTTTCTACACGTTCCGTGATATTTTGACACCATCGTATTGAAAGCCATTGAATTAATTGTAGTAGCTTTTACCCGCATTAATCTATATTGTCAGAAGAGCGTATGAAAAGAAGGGATCAAAAATAATTGGTGGTGAAATAATCTTGTTGGCATATTTGTTTTTCAAGTCGTTTTTGTAAATTTTTTTTTGAAATTGGAAATCAACACTATATACTAAACAATTTCAGAAGTATTAATATTATTTACTTGATAAAAAAGTATTCATGTCGAACCTTTTATTTGGTTTATTTGTTTATTTGTTGCAAGGACGCGCTTTACGCTAACTGTAATTTTATGCAACCAAGTAAAGTTTTTGTATTGGTTGATTGCATATATATATCAGAATTGGTGAGGCATGGCCAGGCGCCAAACTCAAGGTTGTTACTAAGGAGCAAATCCCTAGTCGACCAAGAGCGCGTTCCTGGATACCAGCCCATCAGTCCGATCTTCAGCGGATTCTGGAACTTATTCGGTGAGGAAACCGACAGTTAAACACATCAACGTGGAAGATTACTAAGCTGGAGGAAGTCAAGGGTAAATATAGGTCGGTCAGTTTTGTGATTGACAAAGCATCCTTGGCCACTTTGGCGAAATCTAATGGTGTTATTAACTAAGGTTTCTCAGCCATTACAATGAGGATATATAAAAAGGACGAGGAGCAATCCTCACCTAATGATACGGGTCCAACAGCACTGCAAGGGACTGTTGATACCATAATGGAAGCGGGCGACTTGGTACCTGCTACCGCTAACTCAGTGGGCCCAGTAGAAATACTGCCTGCCACTTCTGTTTCACCGAATATGGACGTGACTATGTCCTCTCCAACCCCCTCGATTACATCTGAGGAGAGTATTGGCACGCGCTATCTTTTTGACGAAGAACAACTTTTGAACTCAGGAAATGAATGTGAGGAAGATAGCGCGTTGATGTAACAGTGGTGGACACTACCACTTTCAAAACAAACCATGATGCGGGTACTACAAATTAACCTGCACCATTGCAAGGCTGCGTCCGCTAGCTTGCTGCAATGCCTCAGCAACAACGAGGCTGATATGGTCCTGGTGCAAGAGCCATGGGTTTTTAAGGATCTTGTATGCGGATTCAGGACTAAAAACTTTGACTTAATATATGCGGTAAACAAGGGTAAGCCTAGATCCTGCATATTAATAAATAAAACATATAACACTCTCATGCTTTCGCAGTATAGTGACAAAGACCTAACCGCAGTAAGTATTGAGTGACCTTGGGGCCAGATATGGGCGGTATCTGCATATATGGCTCATGATCACGAAGAATTACCATCAAGTAGCCTGAAGCAGCTGACAACTGATGCTAGGAGACTTGGTGCAGATATTATTTTGGGCTGCGACGCAAATGCTCACCATGAAATATGGGGCAGCTCAAATACAAATGAACGTGGTGAGTTACTTTTTGACTTTATTCTTAGTAATAATCTCTTTATATGTAATGACGGTAATAGGCCGACTTTTGTTACTAAAAACAGGCAGGAAGTTCTAGATATCACAGTGACTACTGTCAAAATTCATGGGTCTATCAAAAAATGGAAAGTGTCCACTAGACACTCTTTTTCAGACCATATGATTTTAGAATTTTCTATAAACTTAAAGAAATCAAGTACCCCCAGTTTAGAAACTTTCAGAAATGTCAGGAATACAAACTGGACAAAGTACGAATCATCTATAGATGAACTGTTGAAAAACACTGCTCTTTACCCTCCAGAGAATTTAAATGACCTGGACAAGCACGTAGGAGATCTTACCTCAATACTTAATGAAGCTTTTAACCTTGCCTGTCCTTCTACTCGACCTAGTAGGAAGTGCAACCCACCCTGGTGGAATAGTAGCTTAGGTCAGTTGAGGAAAGAATGCAGGAGACTTTTTAATAGGGCAAAGCTAAACAGAAATGAGAGTGATTGGTCTGAATACAAGATCTCTCTGCAGAAATACAAGAAAGAATTACGGAAGTCTAAGAGGACCAGTTGGCAATCATATTGCCAGGAGATAAGTAAGGACTCTGAAACCTCTAGACTACGCAAAATCCTATCTAAAAATCCATGTGTCCCTGAGTTGCTAAGAAAACCGGATGGGACTTGGTCAAATAACAGAAGAGAGTCACTAGATTTATTACTAGATACCCACTTCCCAGGATTCTTCGCCTCGACGGAATCCTCAGAATGTTTTAACTACACATCGGTAAACTCCATCAAGTTAAACCTACGAACTCTAAAATGGGCCATTTTTAGCTTTAAGCCCTACAAATCACCAGGACCGGATGGTACTCATCCTATTGAGCTGCAAAACTCTTGGGAACAAATACACAACTGGCTTTTGACCTTTTTTAAATACTGCTTCATTTTTAATTATGTTCTAACACAATGGAGAAAGGTTAGAGTTGTTTTTATTCCTATGGCAGGTAAAACCTCTCATAGTGACCCAAATGAACTCCGTCCAATTAGTCTCTCATCTTTCATGCTGAAAGCTCTAGAAAGAATTATAGACTTTGAAATAAGGCGAGTTATAGATCCCAATCTTTGGTCTCTGACACAACACGCCTACACTAAGGGTAAATCCACAGAGACAGCACTCCATGCCCTCACTTATACTATTCAAAAACTCTTAAATTAAGGGAACTTTGTATACTGGCTTTCGTAGATATTGAAGAAGCTTTTAACAATATTCTTCCCAGTCCAATAGCAAGCGCACTCTCGCGTCTGGGTGTTGAAGATGCGCTCATCAGTTTTATCGGTCAGTTACTAACTGGCAGAATTATTGAAGCACAATTGGGTGTATCAGCAACACACAGACGGGTGAATAGAGGTATCCCACAAAGGGGCGCACTCTCTCCCCTCCTCTGGAATATAGCGGTGAATGAACTGTTACAAAAACTGAGGAGAGCGGGTTGCGGGACAGTTGCATATGCGGATCACATTGCGTTAACAGTTACTGGAAAATATGCTACTACTTTAATATCTTAGCAATTGGACACTGACATGTGGTCTCGGGGTTAACCCCAGTAAAACGGAAATCGTAGTATTTACCAGAAAACATAGGGTTCCAAATTTTTCTCCACTCTAAATTAAAGGAGATACAATTTATTGAGAAAGCAAAATTCCTAGGCATTGTTTTCGATAGGAAACTGACCTGGAAAGAAAATGTTTTGGAGCGAGCTAGGAAAGCAAACATTGCATTGCTCCTTTGTCAAAAAGCTATTGGTAAAAAGTGGGGATTACAACCACGTATCGCTCAATGGCTTTACACTGCTGTCATTAGACCAATACTTCTATATGGCATAGCCATATGGTGGACAGCTCTTGCCACTTGACATTATCAGTAAGCAGTTGGCAGTTTCATCTGCCCTAAGACTTATGGCTACATCACAATGGAGGGCTAGTGACCATGGGCACAGCTCGATTCTAAACATTTTCAGTCCTATTTTCAGTCCTACACCAACAGTGCCGTCTTTTAGAATTCTGTTGATTTTAAAAGGCCCCTGATGGGCCTTTTAGTGAAATTAGATCTGAAAATGAGGAAATCTTCAGAAATGCAGGACTTGCGCAAAACTGGTAATGTACACTTAGATCAAGTGATGCTCACTGGTAATGTAAGACTGGTATCGACAATTTATCAAAAGCACCAGTTTATTTACTATAATAACGACTTCGATGATGAAGGAAACAATTTTTTTAATTATACAAAATCTGATGGCGAAGGTAATGAGATGATGACGAAATATCTGACAGCATAAAATAAAAACTAATGTCATAGTGGATTAGTAGTGACAAAAGAGAAGGTAATGCAACTTTCAATATTTATTTATATAATTTTAGTATTATTTTGTTGTTTTTAGGAAACAATGACTCGGAAAGTTTTAACATAGTTTAACAAAAATACCATCTCATGATCTAAAAGCTTGGAAGACAAAGACGATAGCTTTGTATGGTATACTCTTGCAAATGTAACAAATAGGTGGATTGTGGAATAACAGATAATTCCAGAATGTACAAAGACGTGCACATATTATGAGTATTTTAAAAAAATCAAATAATAATTGAATAAGTTTATGATATATGTAAAAATGTTAACAATAACATATAAAATTAAATTTATATTCTATTGTTGAATTAATAATCTATTATTATTTTCAAAGATTTTATTGTTGAATACAACAAAGACTCTAGCTAATGGTGTAATGATATACATATATAATATTTTTTTATTTCGAAAAACTTTAGCATTCATTGGGTCTAAGAGAAATATTAATTGCACTAAGGTATTTTTTATGTCGGACCTATTGAA